AAGAGGATGAAGATGAAGTTCATTAATAAGTTAGTTCTGGCATATTCTTCTTATCTATAAAGCATGTAACCCTCCTGTACACAACTTGCACCATTTAAAGAAAAACACTGTGTGCAAAAAAAAAAAAAAAAAGGGAGCAGGTGTTATCCCACTTAATGGTAAAACCCAAATTCTTAATTCTTTTAGACTTTCATAATCTTAGCAGTCATTGCATGTCCATGTACAATATATTTCTTATTTAAGTGTATTTTAAATTCAAAAAATGTAAGTTTTAATTAAAAAGAATTGAAGCACCATATGCAATATATGGTAAAATCTCACTCAAGTATTAAATGTGGCACAATGGGCTCAAACGACTATTGGATGAAGATTTAAGCTATATATCATGAGTTAGGCTTGAACTTCTAGGCAATGGTAAACATAACAACTGTATTTTTGAAAAACAAAGGGGAGAAATTCAGTGTATGAACTCAAGTTAATATGGTGGTTTGATGGAGAGAAAAAGAAAATTTTAAGGTGAGTGTGAAACATAGAGTTTATGGTAGGTAATATTACTGACTAGTGTAGAGAATCTCAGAAGAGACACATTTGTGGTTCAAAAGAATAATTTAGACTTTATCTGTATTAAATATTAGATCTGCTGTTAAATGACAACATTTCTTATAAAACAAGAAGTATGTATTAATTTATCATAAAATAAGAAATATGTATTGATTTGCATATTTTGTAAGGACCAAGTATCCAGGAAAAGTTTAAGAAAGTGAACTCAGACTCTCCTATGAAGTTACTATGCTACTGTAAGCCAGGCTTGCACTCATATCAGATTCATTCTAAATTCACTCATAAGGCTGTTTGCAGGAGTCTTCATTTCTTTATCATGGTCTCTCAATCAAGCCATTCTTTCCACAGTTTCCTATATAGCAAGTGCCAGAGAAAGAGAAATCAATAAAACTCCAAAGTATTTTTAATAACTTACTCTCAAAAAGGGAGTAACCTATGATTTTTGGCAGATATAACTATCCTTAATCACCAATCTAGACACAATGTTTAAGCATTGTGCACAAGGATGAATATACTGAGAGTGAATTAAAGGACAGCTGGGGTGACAGGGAGAACTTGTCTCAAAAAGACCAAGCCAAAGAAATAAGAAAGAAAGAAAGAAAGAAAGAAAGAAAGAAAGAAAGAAAGAAAGAAAGAAAGAAAGAAGCAGATTACATAAAATATAAGAACTAGATGTCTGAGGCAGGAGGATCACAAGTTCTAAGTTCTGGGCTTGCCTGAGATGCAATATGAGCCCCTGTATTACAAACAAGAAGAGTATGAGGAGGAAGAGAGGAAGAAAGAAGGAAGGAATCAAGGAATAAAAAATGATGAGAGGGAGGAAAGTAAGGAGGGAGAGAGGAAGAGAGAGAAAGAGAGAAGGAAAGCGAGGAGGAAATGAGAACGGGATGGAGGGAAAAAGGAAGGAAGGGAGAAATGGAACCAGGGAGGGAAAAATGAAGGATGGAATGAAGGGAGGGTGGGAAGGAAGGAGAGAGGAAAGGAAAGATGAAAGTTGGATAGATAATCCAGAATACTGATATAGAAACAAGTAGACCTGAGATGTGAGATTACTGTTAGAGATAGATTTTAAAATTTTAAGATAAGGATGAATGAGAGCTCATTAGAAGTATCTTCAGTCACCTTATTTATGTACATTAGGGAGAATGTTTTTCTCTACAGTGACTCTACAAAGACAATCAAAGCCCAAATGAAGCTAACCTCAAGAAAGGGGTTAGACATAGGGAAAAGAAGGACATATGATCTGACAGTCCAATAAAGTCCTATTCTCCATTTCATAAATAACTAGCAAGCAGAGTTGGAGAGAGGAAGGGCATATTTTAGCCCAATTTTCATGTAATCTAAAAAGGCATTTTTCAGAGAATCCCATTTCAAGTTGAGGATTACTAATGTTTAACCTTATGTACTTGTTCAACAATTATTCATTGGTAATGTACGTATACATACAAAAAGAGTTTGCATGATTAATGTCTTAAGCTTTCATTAAGGGAAAAATACACACAGAACTCTTATTATTAAGAAAATTTAGATGAAAGTAGGTGTAGCCGGGAAATAACTTATTCCTCTTGACTTCCTCTGAAGAGCCACAGGCTAGTGCAGGGCACCCTAGGAATAAGGGTGACGCCTAGCTTGGCGGGAGATTGGAATGAAAGGAGGAGGAATTTTCGCCATTCTGGGAAGTGGGAACAGGAAAGGGGCAAGCCCACCTGCTGTGGACCCCCGTGTGGCACCGGGTGACCTTGCAAGTACCCTGTGGACCCTACACAAAACTCTCTGAGGCGAGTGGGCATGCAGAGACCTGTGATGAGGCAGACCATGGGCAAAAGCGATCCAGAACAGCAGGTGTTCGTTTCTTTGTAAGTCACTCCCCCTCAAAGGTGTAAACTGCAAAATTCAGGTAAATATGTGTTATGTGGTTTGTCTACCCATATCAGGAGCAGGAGACACTAAAGAGTGTGAGGGTGAGTCAAACATAGAGTGGAAGGAGAAAATTTAGTGGGACAAAACTGGAGCAGTCGGTAAGATGATGCTGGAAAAGACAAACCGACAAACCAACCTCAGGAGTTTGGGAAAAGCAAGGGAGCTAGTCCTGGTGCTGACAAGGCTCTTACAATGGATTATAAAATATGTAATTAAAAAGGTGCATGCCACACAGAAACATGGTCCATAGCTGTGTTGTAAAAGTGGTGAAGCAGTCAAGCTGCTGGTATGTAAAGATTTTTTAAAGGTTATAAAAAGGCTAGAAAATATTTTACAGGCCTTGGAAACAAGCTGAGAACCCAGAAAGGGGCCGTGGCCAATTTTCATAATAAAAGATTTGACCAAGGCACGGGGAAGCTGAAAAGGCTAGGAAGATACTGGCAGATTCAGTTGCAGAGCTTGAGCTAGGAAAACAAATGGGGCATTTTAACTTGTATAAGGTCCAAGGAATCAGGAAAAAGACAGATAATAGTAAAAAAAAAGAAATGACTGAAAAATAAAAGTAGCTAAAGCTGCCCTTAGATTTGATCTATAATACAAAAGAAAAAAAAAAAAAAAAAGCTAACAGTATTGTAGCTAGGAAAAAGTCCACACTGAAACTGTTAAAATTAGGAAAAACTTATAAGCAAGCAATCAAAGAGCCCCTCACCACGTGGCTTGGAAGGGTAAGGGACATGGGAGCAAATAACCAAATAACGTCAGTCTAAGTCCTTCAGAAGATTCATAGCTGAGTTATATAACCACCCATCCATCCTTGAGATATAGGCTGTTCAACCTAGGCCAATCCGACACACTGAAACTGTTAAAATTAGGAAAAACTTATAAGCAAGCAATCAAAGAGCCCCTCACCACGTGGCTTGGAAGGGTAAGGGACATGGGAGCAAATAACCAAATAACGTCAGTCTAAGTCCTTCAGAAGATTCATAGCTGAGTTATATAACCACCCATCCATCCTTGAGATATAGGCTGTTCAACCTAGGCCAATCCGACAGTGAGCAGTCCTTAATGGGATGGCTGGTGGAAGATATTAATGCTACATGGTCATCACCAAGGGAAACTCCTATAATTAACAGAGGCTGGAGACTATAAAGGAGGGACAGGCATTGCTGAGAGAACTAGGTATGAGAAAAGCAATATATGATGCCCAGTTCACTGGGCCAGATATGACTGTTCACCAGAGATATAAAGGAAAGCTTAATTCAACTGGGACGCTGAGAATGGTATAGAGCTTTAATGATTTTGTTAGGCCCTTTAATGGGACAGGTTCTCTGTAAAGTGAGAGAGGCTTTAGCAGACCTAAATGACTCTAACCAGTATGTAAAACTGAAAAAACCTAGGCACCATGAGGCCACCTGATAGGAATGCCTGACAAGAGGTCAAGCATTGAGAAACTAGCTTATCAGAGAAACAGGACATAGTGGTCAAGCCATCTGCATCTGGCAATCCCCAGGGCTCGATACCAGGAAATCAGGAGAAAAACCTCTGTGTCCCTGAGGTCACCTCCCATTTAGCAATCCCACTTCCCCTTAGCCCCGACCCTTACCCCATATTTCTGTGTGCTTTTGAAATTACTCTGTGTGTTTTTGAATTAACCAATAACCACGCTTCTGCTTCTGTACCCTGCTTCTGCTCTATAAAAGTGCCAAACCCCAGCCTGTAGGCGCGCAAGTCCTCCGAGGAGACTTTGTGCCCACAGGTACCTGTGTATCAAATAAACCTCATGCTGTTGCAACCCGAAGACTGACTTGTCCTCAGTGGTCTCACTCTTACAAAGATGTGCTTGTTTTCCTGTGCCTGTGTTTCCTCATAGAGTTTATTTCCAGTTTTGTTAATTTTCCTGCAGATTAATGATTTTACTTTTTAGCTGAATACAATTCCATTGTATCATTGTGTCATATTTCTATTTCCTGTTCACCAGTTGATGGGAATCTAGATTGATTCTATTTCCTGGCTATTGTGAATGAAATGAGAATAAAGCAAAATGAGCAAAGGTATGGAGTCCTTTGGTTATGTGACCAGGGATGGTTAACTGTGTGTTAGGGTTTTTCTGATTTTAGCTTTTTGGGTGATCATTGTGGCTGCGCCAGTTTGCAATCGCTCAAACAGTGAATAAAGATCCTCCTTTTTCCACAACCTCACCTACATTTGTTTCTTCTTGATTTCTTGATGAAAGCCAGGCTGAGTGGAGTGAAGTAGAAACCCACAGTAGTTTTAATTGGTTTGTATCTGATTACTAACATTGAAACTTTACAAAAGTGTTAATTAGCCATTCTTATTTCTGCTTTGAGAAATCTTTGTTCAGATCAGTAGCCTATTTTTTGATTGGGT